TCAATGGTTATTTTGTGACATGAAGTTCTTTATACAAGTTCGAGTCCACCTTTCATTAGATAGAGACTTAACGGTGCTCTATATCCAATTGCAGGGCAAGTTCCCTCATTACGAGAGGGGAATTTGCAGGAAGATATATTCAGTTTTCCCTGGTTAAAGGATAGACCTGTTGTTCTTGGTAAGTGCATGAGATTGTGGACTAATAAATGTTTACTCATTCAACAGTCCACTGCTATGGTTTTCTTGTATCTGTGTTCAATCTAAAGTGTGTTTCTGCTGTTTGGCAGGATCAAGATTTAAAGATGCATTCCAAGACCCATGTGCATATCTTTCCATAGAGCCTCTATTTGAGGTATGACCCTTTCTGGGAGGAAAATAAAATTCAAGCACGGGAATCTTTTCTCTCAATTAATATAATTTTACTTCAGATTGTCTTGTATGTAGTGAATATTTCCTTTTAATTGACCACAGAAAGAGAGATATGTAGTGACATATAATCCTTCAAAAGATAAAGTATATGCATTGCTCAAGGATCAGGCGAAGTCAGATGACATTCTAAAAGCGGCATTTCATGTAAGACTTTTGTGTTTTATATTTGTTACACCAGGCTAAAATGTTTGTTCTTACGTGTGGGGTATAATTTTTAATTTACCTTGTATTTCAGGCTCATGTGCTTTTGCATTTCATACAATCTGCAAACAATTCTCGATCTTCATCCTGGAAGGAGCAGGAACATGATCATTCAAAATTAATGCCCACAACTGCCAATCTTGAGGCTCGTATTGCAGAATCATGTAAGACGGTCTCAAGTGCATATGGGCTTTTCAAGAGTAAAGTTGCAGAACAGGTGAGCGTCCGAAATACCTAAATTCTTGGAGAAAGAATATGAGCTAGTGTTCATAGTGTATCATTAAACTTTGGCTATGGTGGAATTTTGTGTCACTTCGCAATTGGAAAAGTATTTTTAAATACCCAGATATTACAGAAAAAATAATTTTTGGTGCTCAAGCCAAAATATCCCTTTCAAAATTTTATACAAGCATTCTCAACATGCACTGAGGTGAATTTGAATGCCATATGGCAAATGCTTCTTGAATATTAGTGTCATTAAAAACACACCTAGATTATATTTTAATGGTATTTGATGGACTAGCAATGTAATTTTCTCTCTTTATTTTCCTGTAGGGTTGGAGAATGTCTGATTCGCTTCTGAATCCCGGCCGAGCACGACTTGTATTCCCTGGTTAAACGACAGAACACACTCCATCTCTTTCACTATCTAAAGCTGGATGTTAAACTTGCCAAGCAAAAGATAACCATCCACAACCAATGCTGAAAACATACAAGCGAACAAGAGTTTGCCATTGATACCATGGATCTCATCAAGCCTACAATTCTCGTGCTTCGCCAAATCTGAAACATTCAAGAAAGATAACGACACTACCCGAGTGGAAAAATTAACCATTTGCATAAAGTTGCAGGGTGTAATATACATTGGAATTACTTGCTTTTTCATATCTGGGTTTCCAAATATCTTTTCTTCTTCTTTTTTCCTCTCAAGTTTATTTTACTATATTTGAAACCCATTTTGTATCAAAATTTTCTCCACTTCCCAACATTGCAGAGGTAAATATCAAGTTTTTTTAACTAGTGAAAAGCTTAAGGTTGTGTTTTTTTAATTATTTTGAGTAGAATTTTTGAAAAACTAGCAATGCACCTAAGCCATCTTGGCAATGCACAAAGCCAAAGGCTGTAATGGGGTAATCAAGTGCTGTATTGATTTGCACTGATAGCAATCAATCAAATCCAGTGTTGGGTGAAGTGCATTTGACACTGTGTGTGTGCGCCTGCTTGCTTATTGCTTACTGTTTGTAGGCATATGTTGATGTGCACGTGTGTTCAAAGTTTTGCGTTTATGTTAAATTTTGCAGCTCAGTTATTGCTGCATTTTTCTTTTTACTGTTCTCTCATCTCTTCCTTTCTAAATTCTAAAAGGCACAAGGCAGAACTATGCATTTTGCATCCATGGTTTCATTTTTTTCTATTTCTCGTTTAAATTTGTTAACTAGTCATGTTTTAATTGCAAGTTAATCTCATTTGGCCGTGCTGAGATCACTAAGTTTCCAGTAATATTAAACATCTCAAAATATAAATTTATATTTAAATCTCATATAATACATTATCTTATCAATTAGTACTTCATTTATCGATGAGAGTTTTAAGATAACTTTTGGCCTCGAGATATCCCTACACCCGAAGGTATGAGACTAATTCTTGATCAAGGCTCGGATAAATATCCTTGGCCACAAGTTGTTTTCACTGAGATTTAAACTTTTGACATTACAGGTAAAATTTGAATCTAGTTATGAACTAAACCATAACTCAATAGTTTTAATGTCTCTTTTAAAAAAATGAAGAACCATGTTTCTAATACATTCATATTATGATGATTTCATATTTTTATAAATTCAACATTTATTAGGTTAATGTATCTTAAATAATCAATACAAACTTGATTTAAATGTCAATTATTAGGAGACATCATATTGCAGTTGATAAGTCCATAAATTAGTAAATACATTCTCAGAGACGTTTTTTGTTTTCTTCTTTTCTAAGCCCTATCCATTAATGCTTCTTGGTGGAAACTCTGAAACTGATGTGTCTTGAGGTTGACGGAGGGCTCACCTCTTCTTTGATCATAATCTAATCCGTTAACATACATCCAGCTGTGGATTGTATTACATATACATAGAGAAATCGTTCAATGTTTTTATTTATTATTATTACTTTTGTAATTAATCAAAAGACAAGTGGGGTCTTTTTAATGCCACCATTTCATTCACACATTAAATATCTCAACCCCAATCCTATTTACTATCTTTTGGAATATCGTGGTTCCCAATTTAATACCCCTCTTTAATGATCCTTCCCTGTTTTCTCAACTTTGATACAATATACCGCACTTTTCAAATACAATAATAATATGCTTACAAATAAATCTTACATAAACTTTTACACAAAGTGGGATGATAAAAAATAAATAGAAAAGTGAAATAAAAAGTTAAACTCATTATATTCACTCTCTTATTTATTTTTTACTACATCACTTTATATAGAAATCTTTGTGAAATTTCTTTGTAAATATAGCATTATTCTTTCAAATATATGGTGTCCTAGATATATAAAGTTGGGATCTTAACTGAAACAAATCTTATGTGTATTATATTATAACGTAACTAGTTGATAACAAAGTAAGTGTAAAGTGTACTTTGTTTGCCTGAGGTAGCATATTTTAGTTAGTTTCTCGATTTACAATGCTATGAACACAAGATTTTTTTCATTATAGGTGATCATCTATCATATTTATGATTTACTTGATCCATTGAGTTTGTAGGATGTTTAATGAAACTCAAAGATTAGTTGATGACGTAGAACATCTGACGGATGAATTCATGGAGCAGGTTGAACGTCAGAAATCCATACATAAAGTCCAAAGATCCTAAATGAGCATATCTCATTCAAATGGCCATAACTTTTGATTCGATAAGAGTTATAGGGCCCATAAAATACCATTGGAAAGCTTATTTCAAGCTCATCGGCTTGGCAACATGCTTTAGCTGGTTGGAGGTTGTTTTTGAGGTCACAATCCACTGTTTTGGTGTGTTTCAATGCTATTTTAGTTGTTTGTGCGCTTTTTCCTATTTTATTTTGGGTTTTATTGTTTTGTTAATTTAGATTTTGTTTCCTTTTGTTATTAGGAGTTATAATAGGGTTGGTTGTCACCCTCTATAAACTTATTTTTCATTTTGGATGTGATTCAATAAATTATTCAGATTTTAAGGTTTAAGTTTCTGGATTGAGACCTGTGTTATCAGTTCTAAAGGTGTAGTCAAGTACTAGCCTTGTTTTATCACGCTAACTCGTTGCGTCAGTTGGTATCAGAGTAGGCAAAATCTGTCTAATCTAATGGCAGGTGATGAAGTTGTAGGCAGCGACGGTTCTCATGATGAAGATCAAGGAGCTGAGACCTCGCAAGGGGTGGCATTGAGAGCTTTGGAGCAATGAATCGATCTCAGATTCTAGCGTTTGGAATGACGCTTTGAAAAAATTGCAACAGTACTACTCATCCACAAATTGATGACCAAACTGAAGTTGTGAACAGAATTCTTCGCAATTTGATTTGAAGTATTTGTGGTGATAAACCAAAATAGTGAGATGTAGTTTTATTGCAAGCTGAATTTGCCTACAACAGTGCTACTCAAGGAAGTCTCCTTTTTTCTTTTGTGTATACCAAGCCCCGACGGCATGCTCTCGACTTGATCAAGCTGCCGAAAGTTCCTAGTGTTAGTGCAACTGCAGAAAATATGGCTACTCAGTGGCAAGATGTTTAAGCAGAGGTGAAGCAGAAGTTAGAGCAAGCTAATGCCAAGTACAAGAAAGCTGCAGACCAACATCGTAGAAAACAGATTTTTGAAGTTGGCTATCGAGTGATGGTGTTTCTTCGAAAGGAGAGGTTTCCAGTAGGGACTTATAATAAGCTGTAGCCTAAGAGGTGTGGGCCTTACTAGATTATGCAAAAGATCAATGACAATGCCTACATTGTGGTTATGCCAGACATAATGGGAATTTCTAAGACGTTTAACGTAGCGGATATTTACCTATTTCACGTTCCTTGTATCTCGATGCCCAACTTAACTCGAGGTCGAGTTTTTCTCAAGTGGAGGGGACTGACATCGAACGTCTAGCAGATGAATTCATGGAGCGAGCTGAACGTCAGAAGTCCATACGTAAAGCCCAAAGATCCTAAATGAGTATGTCTCATTCAAACGGCCATAACTTTTGATCTAGGAAGAGTTACGAGCCCCGTAAGATACCGTTACAAAGTTTATTTCGAGCCCGTCGACATGGTAACCTTTTTTGTTGGTTCCAGGTCATTTTTTAGGTCAAAATCCACCATTTTGGCGTGTTTCGGGGCCATTTTAGTTGTTTGTGCGTTTTTTCCTATTTTATTTTGGGTTTTCTTATTTTAATTAATTTAGATTTTGTTTCTTTTTGTTATTAGGAGTCTTATTAGGGTTGGTTATCACCTTATATAAACTTATTTTTTGTTTTGGATGTGATTCAATAAATTATTTAGATTTTACTTCAAATTTTAAAGTTTAAGTTTCTAGATTGAAACTTGTGTTATCAGTTCCAAAGGTGTAGCCAAGTTCTAAGCCGTTGTTGTTTTATCACGCTAACTCGCTGCGTCAGTTGAAGTGCATGCAAGCTGATCCAAACACCTCAGTCACCAAAAAGAAAAAAAAAAAACTTATGTTACTTTGGATGTGTTAGTACACATTAATTTTAAGTTAATTTGACACATCGACAATTATATTAAATGAAATGTCTCAATTTTGTTTATGAAGAACAAGGGTGGAGCTACGGTTGTGACCATCATATGCCCGTAAAATTTTTTTAGTCTATATAAACTATTTTTATTTTATTTATTTATTTATTATTTTTTTTTTTTTTTTTTTGTGTGCCAAATCAGATTTTGAACTTAACACTTCAGGCCCTCATAATGAAACTTCCTAATTGTCTCTATCCCCCTCATTCATTGCACATCACCTTTTAACCCTTAGAAATTACCAGACTATAGGAATAAATTTCATATTTTAATAAGTTCTAATTTTTCTAGGTCTTATCTTAAGGAACTTGCCTCTACATAATAATAATTATATGTATATTGCAAAAATATATGCTATGTTATATTAAAGTTTTAAGATGAAATAAAATATTTATCTAAAGTTGTTTGAGACAATGATTTATTTTTTAGACTTGTTATCACATTTATTATCTTGTGGGTACGTAATAAGCCGCTAACATGGATACCTTCTCGTTGAAGCCAAAATATTTCTAGCTCTCAAGCATGTTTAGAGCTTCTTGGCATGAAATTTTTGGTATTTCCGTACTATCATCTTAAAGATTATCTCCTTCCTCTTCTTGTCTAATTCTAGTAATGATTTCTTTTTTAGTTAAAACATACACGATTTGTTGCTCATTTGGATTATTGAAGAAGACAATAATATCCATTTGATTAGTGTAGTAAAGTTGTCAAATCTTATAAAACCCCTCCCCAATCTAGTATCCTCTTAATATCCCTCAATGAGAATCCAGAGAATTCATGTCTAGGGAACGAGTTGTATTTAGAAAACCTGTACAAGAATAATAATAATGTCCGAAATATTATTATAAGATGTACCGTAGGATCAAAATTTGTACTTTCAAAAATAAAAATAAAAAATTAAATTTATTTGGGCATCAATCAATCAAAATATATTAATGCTATTTTCATTCATATGACGGAAGCTTCAAAAAGGTGTTTCAAAAATATTTGTCATTTGCATTATTTACATCAAGATAGAACCTTAGGATGACAATAAATTATCTCCCCTCATGCATAGCCTTGCTGTCTCCAACATCACTCGCTTCTGGATTACCTGTAAAACATTCAACCATAAAGGGTGAGGGCTAATCACTCAGTAAGGAATGATCCATTTAATACCAAGTATGTTATTTGACATTCATTCAAACACATTCATTCACATATCACACCTCATTTGCATCTAAGTATGGTTCCTTTTCTTTACTAACTCATATATTTTTCATCATCTTCCCCATCGTCATATAAAAC